TAATGCCAGTGAAAGGAGTTTTAATTGGAAAGCACCACTGCCAATGTTAAGATGTATTATTCCATCCTTTACTTCAAAGGAAGAGCCTAATTGGGGTAAACCAAGGACGACTATATACTGTAACAGAGAGAAATCCCTTCACTTGATCTGATTGTGTGCGTTTTTAGAACTTTATGTTATGTTTAAGTCTGAATATTTATAAAATATTTGTAAAAGCAACTATCCTTTGTTAATTTTAAGCCCTGCTATAGAAAGTTATTAAGCTTAAGACAAAACGGATGCTTGCCTAAAGAGAAATCATTATATGTTCAGAACTGACCAGATGTGTAGAGGGCCCAGCCAACACGAAAGACATAAATCATGGGCAGATCAGTTAAAGAAGCTAAGTTGAAAGAACTAACAAGTAAAAGTTGGGAGATGTTCCAAAGGTTTGGGAAAACAAAGTAATCAATCATGCACACCTGAAAGCTAATTAAAAGGGTCAATTAGAAATGAAGAGTTTGTGTTGTAGAAGAGAACCCTCTGCAGGCTAGAATGAACTGATGTATTTTACAAATTGGGAGCTTCAATCTAGACAAGTAAACTTTGTAAAATTACTAAAAATATTCTATAAAATTCCCTGATGAACCAAAATAAATAATAATGTGTAATTCAATGTATCTACAGAAGCTTTATGCCATAGGCTACTTTAAAACTTTAAATGCTGTGTTTTAATTCTGTATTATTTATGTTTTTATTCTGTATTGTTGTGTTTGTTGTTGAAAGCTGCCCTGAGCCTGCTTTGCGGGGAGGGCGGGGTATAAATTTTACTATAAATAAATAAATAAAACATTAAAAGAATCCATGTAAAGAGTTTAATTTTTTAGAATGTCATTGTAATGATATATGCTTTTATATTTTGTATATTTTAGTGAAAATGAGCTTCTAAAATGCTTTAAGAATATTTTTATACTTTTATATGCATGTATTAATGTAAAAGAACCAATTTTGTAACAGAACTGATAGATTTTATACTGAAAATGAACTCAGCCTGAGAGTTCATTCAAAGGTGAAAGGAGTCTGGGAGTATAACCAAAAGAAGTAAATAAAATATAAATCAAATCTAATGAGCAGTGCACCTATATTGTAGGAGTTGAGACACAGCCAAATAACATCCTGTGTGTCGAATATGTGATTGATGACTGACCAGACAAAGAAAACTGAATTGAGCATGTCTAAATGATGTCAGTGATGATGTAAAGTGAGGAGGAGCTAGAAGAGCATATAAGCAAGCTCCCAGCTGTAACACATTGAACATCTACAAGCTGTTGGATGTTCCTTTATTTGAATAAATTCTTCTGTTACCCTTTACTGCCTGGATGATTGTTTTAACTGTGTGGTTTATTGGCAAGCCACACAAGTCAAAGAACCTTAGCGCCTTTAGGGTGTTGGCTACAATATTATGAGAAGACAAGAGTCACTGGAAAAGACACTATTGCTGGGGAAAGTTGAAGGCAGTAGCCAAAGGGGAATACCAAACATGAGATAGATTGACTTAGTAAAGGAAGCCACAGCCCTTAATTTGCAAGATCTGAGCAAGGCTGTTAATTAGATGATATTCTGGAGGCAATTTATTCATAGGGTCATGACTTGACAGCACTTAACATACACAGACTACTGTTCAGTCTATATGCAGAACAGATAATAAGGATTAGATTTAGATGAGCATGGACTGAAAATTGGTGGAGGAAATATTAACAATTTGAGATAAGCAGATGACACCACATGACTGGCAGAACATAGAGAAGACTTGAAAAAATTACTGATTATGGTTAAATGAGAAAATGCCACAGTGGGATTGCAGCTGAACATCAAGAAGACAAGACTATTGACTAAGGCTGACAATGAAATAATTGAAATTGTTAAAGATTTTCTGTCCCTTGGCTCAATCATCACACAAAAGGGAGACTGGAACCAAGAAATGAGAAAGACTGGGACTTGGAAAGGCAGCCACAAAGGAACTAGAAAAGTGTAAGCAAATGTTGCTGGAGCCCAAGATTCAGATTTACTGAAAAAGACAATAATGGTAGGAAGAGTCAAAGGCAGTAGCAAAAGTGCAGCTAATTGATCCAATAAATATAACATTTCACACAATAGGGTGGTGCTGAAGCTGAAGAGGAGGTTCTTAAAGTAATGCGGGAGGAATGTAGAGGTAACAGGCCTAGGTGAACCTGTCTGTACTCACTAACATATCAACAACATCTATCCGTAACAACTGTTATCTGAAAGAGTGGAAACTTACATTGATGTTGATTAACCATGAGTCTTTATCAAATCCATACCCATGAAGCATCAAGATGGAGGGCTGAAGGCCAGGCTTTCCTCGGGAGTAGTAACAGAACCTGTAGCCATTATGCTCAGCATATCTCACTTGTACGCCAATTATCTTTGGGAAAGCCCTACAAGCAAAGAGGACAAGATAAACTGACAATAATTCATTGCCATCATTATACTACTTTTCTTGCATTTATTAACTGCTATATTAACACTCTTCTCACTAACAATCATGTGAGCTTGTTTTGCCTAGTTCTTGGGCCATCATACAATGGTCAGTATAATAAACAAGGTATGACATCCTCCCTTCCAACATAGATGGGAGGATAAAAATGTATCATCAAGAAACAAGAACTATGGAAACATAGCCCCATATAAGCAAATCTTAGAGAAAGGAATTAAACTCTGGTACATATTCCATGTTAACCGGAACATTCTTTCTTAAGCAGGTCTACTCAGAAAGCCTATTTATTTCTAGATCTTACTCCCAGGAAGCTGTCTTACGATTTCAATCAAAATCATGCATTTAATACTGAACCTTACTCTGTAGTGTTGATCACAAAATCCAAATACCGTGGCCAAGTACAGAAAGGGAAGATGTTTTTTAAAAGTTGAAGAGAACCCTAGGTTTGCAGAAAAAATCCAAAAAGTAAATTAAAAATGGGGAGGCTTTACAAGCCTCAGAAACTGGAGAATCAGTACATGTGCGGGTGGATACACTGTAACTTAAAAATAAATGCCAGCCAACATGAGATCGTGATTAGCAGAATCGGACACTTAAGGAAAAACACTAAGAAAAAGACAAGGAAAAGGGGATAAAATTAAAGTGTTTGGCTGGGATTAGGGGGAAAGGCAATGGCAAGAGGAGAGGAGATGGGGCAGGAGAAGAGAAGAGAAGGAGGAGGAGGAGGAGTGGCAAACAATGCTCCCTCTAAGCTATGGAGTCCTGTGAGCAATGTTCCCTCTAAGCTGTGGAGTCTTGTGAGCCAAAATTCTACTTTGTGAGCTGCTGGCATTAAAGTTGTGAGCCAGCGATTTGGCTGCTGCATAAATTAATTTGCTCTAGAGCCATCCTTCCTGAGCGAAGACAAAAATGTGTCAGCCGGAGGCTTAAAACCTATGAGCTAGCTCACACTAACTCAGCTTAGAGGGAACACTGGTGGAAAATATGGTTTGATAAGGGGCAGTAGTAATGGAAGGCAGAGTTGGTGGCAATGTTGATGATGGAAAAGGGCAAGAGGGTGTCATGGGGGAGGAAGGGGGATGGGAGAGGATGCAATCATGGTGGTGTTGGTGGTGATGGGTTGGAGGAGACACTGGTGGCATGGAGAGTAAGTGGGGCCAGTGTGGGAGGTATGGAGAGGAAGGTGTAATGGGATTTCAGATCTAAGTTGCCCTGCCACAAGCCATCATTGGCCAGCAATCAGAGAGGGCTTGGAGCTGAAAGGGTGTGCTGGACATTTTCAGTTCCAAGCCTGACACACACACACCCCGCCACCATTAGCAGGCTAACTCCACCAGCTGTCCTACTGGGAGACAGGGAGAACAAGAGAGGAAGAAGAGTGGGTTTTCCCTCCATCATGAGTCCTTGCAGGCCCTCCTCTTGTCCTTAATAACCCTCTTCCAAACCTCATATTGAATGTTGCGAGAACTTCCAAGGGTAAATTATAATTGAAAAGGTTTTCACATTCACAACTCAATTACAATCAGCAAGTGAGAGCAAATCGATATCCACCAAATGACAGGCTCAAGCTGGAGGCAGTGCTGGGTTTAATATGAAGCATTTCAGCAAGAAGGCCCTGGTGAAGGCCCAAGAATGTTTCTTAAGAACAGAAAACGGGCAACTTCCCAAGAGTCCAGATCAGTGTCATGCTGCATTTTCTCAACATATGAAATATCTGCAATGAATGGCTTGTTAACTGAATATGACTTCCAACTGTTTAAAATTTGTTCACTATCTTGTCCTTGCATAGACCATCTAGAAGGTTGTTTGCCAAATATGCTTACTTTGGTCTTCTCATAAATTACCATCAGGAGTTCTTGATTGCTTTGTTCTGCATCCCCAGGAACCCCATTGCTCTCCAGAAGCTAGCATCACTAAGATTCCACAGCAATAGAAATCAAATAACCAAATTCCATCATTCAAGTACAGCCCAGGACTACAGATAGGATACTAAGCATGTTTTCACAACATATACATAATTCTTATGTACAAACTTGCCTGTTAACAATAAGGCTTAGAAACCTTCCCAGATATATTCCTAGATATTCCCTGAGTTAGCCTTGGCTGGGAGTGTGGGGTAGAAATCTAACTAACTGAATGAATGAATGAATGAATGAATGAATGAATGAATGATTAAAATATATCACTTACCACCGCCCAAACCTAAGCAGTGCTTCAGGCCACAGGAAGTAGATTATGAGAAAAGTGATCAATAAGAAGCCTATGAACGTCAGAGGTGTCTTGAGCAAGATGGAGTCCATGTTTGCCTGTTAAGCTCTTTCCCACCTGTATATAGTAAAAACACCGAACAGACAATGGTAACTTCAAGCAAGGTGGATATTTGGGATTAAAGAAAAGAAGACACATGTAATATAATAAAGGTTTACAAATTATTGAGAAATTCCTTCAGTGAAAGCCAATTGTTCTTTATCAGTCTGGGCATAGTTTGTCATCAATGTGTAACCGAGGAAACCACAACTACCAAACATCGAGACATTGCACATAGCCACTGACTTATACTCATAATGAACAAGGGTAGAGGCACATTGAAAGGCCTGACCATGCTGGTGCACCTGCTGTCACTGGACACCTTTATTCTGAGCACCACAGTTGGGAATACTGCCATTAGATTCCAGGACAGACTCAACAGTTATGAATATATGACCAACTTATTGCCCTGAGACCCTGGGGGAGCTCATGTATGTAACCATTCACACATGCACCTCCAGCTCTGGGCCTCTTGGGATCTGAAACTTGGTATATACACAGATTGCAGGTTGGTTCCCTATTTTCCAATAAAATAATGACACCATTATTTCATTAACAAAAATGGGGGAATAGATTGAAGGAAAAACAGAAAGGCAATTTGAAAGAAAGTTGACAATCAAAACATTTGGCCTGTCAAAATGTTTCGAATATTTATTCTGGGAAGTCCTAATTCAACAATTTCTAAAATCCTTGATAATTAAGATGCCCAGTGAGTCTGACTCATGGCTAGTCCAATAGTCTATAACTGGTTAATGGCAGGCTCAGGTAGTAGCCTCTGACATATGGCCACATGTGACACTACCTTATATTTAGGGTTGCCAGCTCTGGCTTGGGAAATACCTGGAGATTTGGGAGGTGAAGCCTGGAGAGGGTGGGTTTTTTTGGGGGGGAGGGATGTCAGCAGGGTATTATGACGCCGTGCAGTCCACCCTCCAAAGCAGCCATTTTTTACAGGGGAACTGATCTTGGCCATCTGGAGATCAGCTGAAGCAAAAGGAGATCCCCAAGTGCCACCTATAGGTTGGCAATCCGCCTTATACTCAGCCAGACCCCTGATCTATCATAAGAAAATAAGAACATAAGAGATGCCAATGTTGGATCAGGCCAAAGGCCCATTCAGTCCAACACTCTGTATCACACAGTGGCCAGAAATACCAGTGCCATCAGGAGGTCCACCAGTGGGGCCAGGACATTAGAAGCCCTCCCACTGTTGACCCCCCCCCCAAGCACCAAGAAGACAGAGCATCACTTGCCCCAGAGTCCCTATCAATACCTTGTGGCTAATAGCCACTGATGGACCTCTATATGCTTATCTAATTCCCTTTTGAAGCCATCCATGCTTGTAGCTGCCACCACTTCCTGTGGCAGTGAATTCCAAGTGTTAATCATTCTTTGGGTGAAGAAGTACTTCCTCTTATCCGTTCTAACCCGACCGCTCAGCAATTTCATGGAGTGCCCACGAGTTCTTGTATTGTGAGAAAGGGAGAAAAGTACCTCTTTCTCTACCTGCTCTTTCTTTTTTTTTTCTTTTTTTTTAAATATATATTTTATTGGATTTTTTACACATACAGATACCCACCACCCACAACATCACCCATTACCACTTATAATTGCTTTTAAACAGCAGCATAGTCATTTTTCCTCCATTTAACACCATTTCTAAATACTTCTAAGTAATCACATAATCATTTAACAAGTACATTTTCCTCCTTGTTCAAGCATACAGCATCTAATAATTGTATTATTATTCTTTTCTCACTCTTTTTTTCCTTGAAACAGTCCACTATTCACATTTACTTTACCATTTATACTTAAGATTGTCTCAGCCAGCATAGTTTCTTACACCACTACCTGAGACAACATCCCAGAAAAGAAGAGAACCTTGCTTACATAATCTCTTAATATCAGATAGGATGATTCAATTAATACTCATTTTTATAAAACCAAACCGTTTTGTAGTTATTGGATAGTATTAAATAATCATATTATCCTCTTTAACTTATAATAATTCATTTTACCCTTAAATAAATTCATATATATCACTTCCATATCTTAGCCTCATTTCTTATCTGTCACTTTAAATCCCCCCCAACAACATCCAGCTTTAATCCAATCAATTCACTCCAATCTCTTGAAAGCCTATTTATGATTCTACCTGCTCTTTCTCATGCATAATCTTATGAACCTCAATCATGTCACCCCTCAGTGGTGACATGATTGAGGTCAGGACTGTCTTCTCTGACTGGCAGTGACTCTCCAGGGTCTTAAGCAGAAGTCTTTCGTATCACCTACTGCCTGATACTTTCAGTTGGAGATGGTGTGAATTGAATCTTGCACCTTCTACATGCAAACCAGGTGCTCTACTCCTGAGCCATGGCCACCACTGAAGTGTCTTTTTTACAGTGCACTTGTGAACACAACAGTTGTGAATGCTGCCATTAGATTCCAGAACAGAAACAAGAGGTATGACCCAGTTTGAATGTATTACCTGCACTAAAGGAGTTCTTGAGCACTAAACTAATCTGTTTATCTATCAATCTTTGGACAAAGAAGAAAGGGTACATTGTGTACTCCTGTAAGATAGATGCTATCTGGCAAGAAATATATAATTAATTAATTATATATAATTATATAATATATTTAAGTATATAATTCATTCTATGTTTATAATTATTACTATTATAATAACCCTATATTAATATAATTAATATATAATTTATTATTGGGAAAACACACACATAAGCTCCAGCTACCCAAACTCTCTGTACAATTATATACCCCTTGAACATTGATTCTCAAAGGTAAGAACATACTCATTCCTCCCCCAAATGGTGACGTCCATTGGTGTCTATAAAGTTTGCCTCTGTTCAACATATCCATGTGAAACATCTACACTGCAGCTTCCAAGAGCTGAAGTGGTAAGCCTGTTGTAGTTACAAAATCAACGTTGTGGTTTTAATAACTCGAGTGGATGATGCTGGGACACCTGGAAAGGTATATGATTTACAGTATCTAAGGTATCCATGATGGTTACTCCAGAATCTGAACCTACTTCTGTTTTATAAATCTCGCCCATACAGCTGCAGTGACATTCTCAACAGTATATACACTTTGAATAATATGCTGTTTTTGTACTTCATGCTCAGGAGAAGCCACTAATTTATAAGGGGTTTGGGAATGAGAAAATTCATCACAATCACCCCCCCCCCACACACCGAGGTAGTCCCTGATTGTCAGACTGTCTCTATGTGGCACTTAAGCTTGCAGGCATGATGCTCAGCATTTTGAAAACTATACACAGTTTGGTGTAGTGGTTAAGTGCGCGGACTCTAATCTGGGAGAACCGGGTTTGATTCCCCACTTCTCCACTTGCACCTGCTGGATGACCTTGGGCAAGCCATAGTTCTGGCACAGCTGTTCTTGAAAAGAGCAGTTTCTGTCAGAGCTCTCTCAGCCCCACCTACCTCACAGGGTGTCTGTTGTGGGGAGGGGAAGGGGAAGGAGTTTGTAAGCCACTCTGAGACTTCTTCTTCTTCTATTTCATTTGAAGATTGAACTCTTTATTTGCCTATGATTTACCCACCTCCACAGTGAGTGCACTTTACAGAGGAGCCAACCATCATACTCCCACTCCTCTACCCTTAAGTATTTCTGACCATGGGATGCTACCCAGCATAACTTTAAGTCTGTTGACTACATTAAGATTTTCCCTTCCCCAAAAACGTGAATTCCAAAATCACATGGTCGTTACTACCCAGCGTGCCCACTACTTTCACCTCATCAACCAGTTCTTCCCTGCTGACGAGAATCAAGATCAAGACAGCAGGCCCCCTTATTTCCCTTTTCACCTTCTGGAAAACGAAGTTGTCAGAAATTTATTAGACCTTTCATTTTTAGCAGGGTTTGACTTCCAACAGATAGCAGGGTAACTGAAATCTCCCATGACCATTGTGTCTCATCTCTTAGAAAAAACTGTGATCTGTTCTAGGAGTGTCTCATCCAAGTCCTATGCCTGGTTTGGTGGTGGGCTATAACAGACCGCCACCATAATATCTCCAGAGCAGAAGGCAGAACCGTGCACTTATATTTATTTATTTATTTATTACATTTATATCCCACCCTCCCTGCCACTGGCAGGTTCAGGGCGGCTAACAGACATACATATAGATGTATACATTAAAACTCCAGATATACTAAATGCAGAATTAAGTTCATGGAAGACTTCTGGAACAGCCAACAGGACTGTCAGGGCATGACCCAGGCCCCAGGAGGGGACAGTCCTGCTACCTGGCTACAAAGTGGTTCTGCTCCATGTGCAGGGGAGGGATGCAAGACCACACAGCGCAAAACATCACTCCCGTGATACAGAGTAGCAGCCTGAGGGAGTGGGTGGGCAGTGGCAACATAATCTGTGGCTACATGGTCACGGATGTTGGCACCAACATGCTTAGCGGCAGTGATTTGTGTGCACCTCAAAGGCATTGTCTACCTGGCGCACACATTTCAGCTGGTGGTGAAGGATGCTCTGGGGCTGGGGAGCACTGCCGAGGTCACCTGGGACGCTGCCCCACTTGAGATGCAGTCCTTGCTCAAGACCCGCCAGTGCCTGGCCGCCTGTCATGAGCCAGCCAGCAGCCACCTCCTTCTCAGAGGAGGAACTGGAAGAAACGGGCACTGCACTGATGGAATCCTCACCTGAGCAGCTGAGCCCAGTGGCAGACCCAACAGGGGAAGCATCAGGAAGTAAGAACACTTCCCAGTCACGGCCAGGCTGCCCAGGCTTCCAGGAGAAGAAGGAGACACCGCAGAGGCTGGTGTCTCCATCTCCTCCAGCTTCTCCCAAAGTAGCAGAGCATAGAAGGAGGAGAGAGCGCTTGACCGCTCTAGAGAGAAGACAAAGTGCCTGCCTAATTGCTCCGCAACGATCAGTGTCACTTTCTGGAGTAGGACAGAGAGGACCAGGACAGACAGGCTGATAGGGAAACCATAAAGACCTGCACCTGTAGGAAGATAAGAGTGATTGTAGTGAATGTGACCTGGGCTATTGGGGATGGGCCAGCAAAAGAGGCAGATAAGAGGAACACTCTGTTCAAGGGTTATTGCGGAAGCAACCTTGGTTGCCACACCTCTGTGAAGCTGACCTGCTTAGCAAACAGAGCTCTCCTCTGACTTACTGCCTTGTACCTTGTTGCTGGTAACCTGTTCTTGCTCCTATAGCCTGGGACCCAGACCCTGCATCCTGCCCTTGCTCCCCAGCCCTGGAACTGGACCCTTGAACTCTCAGCCCTCCTTACTCTGGCCCTTGGACTGGATCTGCAATCTCTGACTCCAGACTGGTATGTAGACCTTGCCTCTGTACCTATTGTTATGCTTATTGTTACTGTATTTGTGTATCCTGGAAAACGTGGGTAGAGCAACAGTGCCAGGCTTGGCCCTGAATGTGACACTGCCCACTTCTTGTGCAGCATCAAGTCTGCCTGTCTGCGAGGCAGAGGGAGGGGGATGAGGAAGTCCACCTATGCCATGGAGCAGAAGAGTGCGGTGCAGGATGACCATCCTCCATGACCATCCTGCATGGGGAAGAGGAGCTCAGCATCAACTCCAAAGAGTGTCTGACCCTCTCCCAAATAGTGCATGTCCTCAAGCCCTTCCAGGACACCATTGGCATGCTCTGGGCCCCTATGGCCAGCCTGGGGTAAGTCATCCCCCTGGTTTGAACACTAGACCAGGTGCTGGTCTTTGCACTGGAGCCGTGCCCCAAGGGGATGGCTGTTCTCCCATGGCTCAGGGCTTTGGCAGAGAGGTTACGGGTGAGCATCACCGCCAGGTTGTATCCTCTCTGTAAGAAAGGGGAGTACAAGTTGGCCTGTATCTGTGACCCCCAGATAAAAGGCAGCATTGCTGTCCTGAATGCAGAGCTCATGCAATGGAAGCATGAGATCTGCAAAAAAAAGTATGGAGGCTGCAGGCCAACAGATGTGGCCGGAGGGAACAGTGGACGGAAGAGGCTGGAGAGGAGAAGGAGCCTCAGCCCAACACTCCTGCCTCAGAGTGCCCAACCAGGGAGAAGCCTCACTACTGGTGGTCAGTGGTGAACTGGGAGGTCAGCAGTGGCAGGGATGCCAAGCATGCAATGGCAGAGGATTCAGCAGAGGTGATGGCGAGGGAATACCTTGTTGCCATGCAGTCACTTCAGATGGCATTATTAAAGACTCTTAAATATGACTGCTTTGCTGAACTGTGAAAAGAGTATGTCAGGGCAATGGACAGAGCTATGTTCCCAAAAGAAGTGATCTTATACTGGACTATGGAATGTACTATAGCCAAGGGAAGCCTAGTGCTTACGAAGCATGCCAAGCCAGATGTGGACCTGGGACTACAGAAGCCTTCTGCCCCTGCACCTCCGCAGCCATGCCAGCATCAGGATGCAGACCAGCAGCCCTGACCTTTGTACACACAGAAACAGCAGCAGATCACAGAAGAAAGCCATGCTCTGCAAAAAGGACAAGATCTCCTGCACAGAAGCCATAAGAAACTCTCTTCTCCAGCATGCAGGCATTTCCCCACCACCACCTTCATGTGTTAACATCACCAGGATAAACACACATTCCTCTCAAGTCTAAAACAAAAGGATGTGCCCAGCTACAGACAACAGCCAGCAATCAAGCCTTCCTGCCACCTATCAAGACAACGCAGCTGTCAGACATCTGGTTGTTAATCCAAAGCACCGGCCCTGCAACGTGATTGGTGCTCCTCTTTCTCTCCTTTGTCTCAACCCCCTTCCCCACTCCCTGCTAAATGTTAAGTTCACGATTGCCCAACCATTAATCCCTTTTCTGCCCCATTCTTAGTTTAAGTTTTGTTAATATCTCCTGGGGACCAGGTGACCAAATGGGCCCCTCCCTCAGGTCACATTTTCAGGTATATAAAGAGAGCCTTATGTCTTTGCTCTCTTTTTTGCTCTTGCCTCTCCTAACCCCATCCTATCTTGCTGGTTCCATTCCTTGCACAGTTTGGAACTTTTCCATGTGTGTTGCTGGTCAACTCACACCCCCTTACCTTATTTTATCGCTTTTTCACTGCAGAATCAACTCATTTCTCCGAACAGGTAAACTTCCTGCTCATGCAAATGTCTCTGTATTTCTCTGCTCTATATTCTTAGCTCTATTTTGTGTGAGTGAACGCTTGATTTTATGTTTGTATGTTTGAAGAACCTTCAGTAAAGAAATCACTGCTTTAGTAATCTAGCCTCAGTGTCTATTCCTGGGTCCTGGGAACTCTAACTCCCGTATACACAGGTTATGGTCCTGTAGTTAATGCCTATTGCCATTTAATAATCATAATTCCCCACTTTTATTAATAAAACAAGGCAATTTTGCTAACAACCTTGCTAAGTCCCTTGAGCCTGCCTCTGATGATCCCCTGGAGTACTGGTCACTCAAGCTGTAATTTGACCTGACCTCTCTTGTATGGCCATATGTCTCCTCTCCTGCCCTCCCACCAGTTTCCAGAGATATTCTCAGCCCCCACCACTTGATGAGAAGGAGGAGGAGGAGGAGAAGGAGAAAGAGAAGAGGAGGAGGAGACAGGAGTCTCAAAGCAGTTTACAATCTCCTTTTCCTTCCCCTCCCCACAACAGACACCCTGTGAGGCAGGTAGGACTGAGACAGCTCTCTCAAGAACTGCCCTTCAGAGACAGCTCTGAAAGAACTTATGACTGACCCAAGGTCACACCAACAGCTGCATGTGGAGGAGCGGGGTCCTCAGAGGAGATGGGGAGGCTCAGAGCCCTGAGTCCACCTAACACCCAAACCTCAGCAGGGGAAAGACTCTGCTCAGCGTGAGCAGAGAGACGGGATGGCTCAGAGTCTTGAATAATAAATTATGAACATGCTCTGCTTTTAATAAGTCCCCCGCCTCTCTGTCTAACTGTCAACAGCTGACAGAGGAGAGGGTGCAGAGCTGCACTGAGGGTATATATAGCATTCTGATCCTATAAAGCAGAATGGAAACACTGTTATTGGCAGCCAGAAGTGCCTGTTAAGCTTTGTAGGGCCCCTACTGGTGTTTCCAAGGCTGGAGAATTCTGCCCCCTCCCTGCTTTGAAGTTTGGTAAACATTTTAATTGAGCAGAGATTGTCTGGAAATGTATCCATTCACGAACTGCAACAAACAGTTTGAAAATCCATGGGAAGTTCATGTTGGTCACCCTGCCACAAACTTCGCTTTGCGAACCATGTTCCAGCCAAAATTCGTGATGAACATTAGTTCGTAAGCTGGTCCAGTGCCCATCCCTAGACCTCATCTCACTCTGACCTTACTCGCTTGAGCTCCTGAGTCCATCTCTGTCCCAAAGCCAGACCTTAAACCCAATGAAAAGAACTCAAGTTGCATCCAAAGATACTTGGGGAAGAAGTCTTTTACTTACAGAAAAAGTCTTCCATTCATGGAAAGACTCCTTCCTCTGGGAATTAACAGGCCTCTGTGGACATGATCTACCAACAAGCGTACTGTGAAACATTTAGAGGACATGTGTCTTGTTTTTTAAAAAAATCTAGTCATAATTTTGCATTGGTTTCACTACTGATTCTTTTAGTGTTTGTTTTGTACCTGCTATTGGTGCTAAAATTTGGTAATTGCCTGGTTTTGTTCTACTTCTGTTTTTTAGTGTCATTAGGATATTGTGGTGTAGAGCGTCAGAGTAGGATCTAGAAGACCCAAATTCAAATCCCCACTCTGCCATGGAAGCTTGCTGGGTCAGTCACAAAACCTCTGCCTAACCTTCCTTTCAGGGTTATTAGTGAAGGAGAGGAGAGTGCTGTAAGCCTCTTTGGGGCCCCATTGGGGAGAAAGGCAAGGTATAAATGCAATAAATCAAATCAAATCAATAAATAATACATAACAATAGATAATATATTGGATTTGTATTTTTTTAACAGAAAATGAAAGCTGCTTACCTGTAACTGTTCTCCTTTGAGCAGTGCCACTTACGCACAGAGGCAACTGGTTTGCTTATATATGACATGGTAAAATTTGGTATGGATCATTGATCAAAACTGTGACTGAAAATGTGCCATCAAACTAATAATCTAATTCCTATTGCTATGATAAGTGGATGACACCTCTAGTCTTGAGCGGAAGTATTATCTGCTGATTAAATGTCGCATGATCAATGCAGTGCTGTATATGAGAACGGAAAAATTGTACACATGAAGAAGGATGGTTCCAGTTAAACCCTTCCGGGAAGCAGTTCTTGCATCAGCCTCTCATGGGGGTTGCTAGCAGAGGGGGTTGTGGTGAAATAACTTCTCATCCTATAGACGAACAAACTAAACATTGCAGATTTGGTGGAGTAATGTTTAGTTTGCGCTCTGTTAATGCTCAGAGGACAACTTTACCCTAACCCACCTGACAGGAAAAAAGCATAGGTCATGTGGCTGTGAAACAGATCTGTGCATGCTCTGATAGCCAATGAAGAAAACTACTAAGAGAAGACAATATGATTGTCCTTGAATTGGATGATTGTCCTTGAAGGGCAAAAAGGGGATCCTGATCTCCTTCAGCCTCAAAGTGCTTTTGGAAGGTAGAGAAAGAATAGTGGGCTCCACAACAAAATGGCTGCTATGAAGGAAAGGTCAGTCACATAATGTTGGGAGGTTCCAAGCCAGGCCAGCTGTTCTGTCTGGACAGACTCAAAGGTGATCTTTCTTACTCTTCTGAAGCACCTCCAGGACAATGGAGGTGGAGGTGGAGGAAAACCTGCATTGGATCTTTGCTTGGGGAAAGAGGTCCTGTTTGGTTTCTGTTCCCAAAGAAAGGGATCAATGATGGATGCCCAGCCACAAAAAGAGGTTACCAAGCCAAGGTCACACAGCATTGCCTGGGCTGAATTCAGCAGTTTGCCAGTTAGGCCCAAATTACACAATACACTTTCTAATGAGTTGGGTCCTAGTTTTCTGGAGGCAGCACATTCACCGCAGCTGTACAGCAGCTTAGGAGAATGTAATTTTAAAAACTTATTTATTTATTTCATGTAGGGATGCCAAGTCCCCCCGGGGGGCGGGGAAACCCCAGCCCGGGAGGCCCGTTCCCCGCCGCCGCCGGATCAGGCCCCCGGGGGGGAACCCCACCCCCAAAGCACGTCACAGGGAAGTGACGCAAGCACATCGGGGATGTTGGGGGCGGGGCCACAATCATCCGAGGGAAAACTCTATGGTTTTCCCTCGGATGATTGTGGCCCCGCCCCCAACATCCCCGATGTGCTTGCGTCACTTCCCTGTGACGTGCTTGTGGCGCGTGCGAAGACTCCCGGAGCAAGGCTGGACTCCCCGCTTCAGAACAGGTAAGCACTTGGCAACCCTAATTTCATGGAATTTCTATCCTGCCCTTCCCTGCAAGTGGGCTCAGAGGAAGTTACATTGTACAAGATGAACAATAAGACAACTACACATAAATTCCATAAATACGATTCAAAGTATAATTTCCATGAAATCCAATTTAAAACCCTAAAACCAGGTTTAGTCCAAATTTAAATACAGGATGGCAAATTAATAACTTAACAATTTAACTGTATCCCAGGTATATGCCGTACAAAATTCAAAAAAGACCAGCATATCAGGTTGATTGTTCCAGCCCATAGCCTATAATATAGTTGGTATAGTATACAGCATAAGCTGACTAAAACTGGCTGATTTGTGCAGGGAAGGTCATAAATGGAATATACCCACTGCCTCAGCCAAAGGCCTGGTGGAACAGTGCCATTTTGCAGGCCCTGCGGCATTGTAATAAATCCCATAGGACCCCGATCTCATTTGGAAGCGTGTTCCACCAGGCCGGAGCCAGAGCCAAAAAGGGTCTGGTTCTGGTTGAGGCTAAGCAGATGTTTTTTGGGCCAGGAACTACCAATAGATGTTGATCTGTTGACCTTAAAGCTCTTTGAGGGGCATATTGGGAGAGATGGTCCCACAGATATGTTGATCCCTGACTGCTTAGGGTCTTTAAAGTTAATACCATAACCGTGAACTTGATCCAGCGCTCAACTGGCAACCAATGCAGCTGGCAGGCTGAATGTGCGTCTGCATAGGCATCCCAGTCAGCAGGTGTGCCGCTACATTTTGCTCCAGCTGAAGTTTCCGGATTAAGTTCAAGGGCAGCCCCATGTAGAGGAAGTTACAGTAGTCCAGCCTGGAGGTGACCATTGCATGGGTCATCATGGCTAAGTTGTGGGAGGAGAGATAGGGAACCAGTTGCACGACCAGCTGAAGGTGGTAGAAAGCTGATCTGGCAACATTCGTGACCTGGCCCTCCATAGATAGTGAGGCATCCAGAGTCACTCCCAAGCTCCACACTGTTGGTGCTGGTAACAATGGCGCCCCGTCAAGGGTTGGGAGCCAGATTTCCGATCCCACACCACCATGACTCAGGCACAGGACCTCCATCATTGATGGATTTTGTTTCAATCAGCTCTGTTGTAACCAACCATCCACAGCCTCCAGCACCCTGGCCAATATATCTGGGCCAGAGTCAAGTTGGCCGTCCTTCGACAGTTATAGCTGGGTGTCATCAGTTTACTGGTGACACCGCATCCCAACTCCCTGGATTAACTGGGAGAGGGGGCACATATAGATGTTAAACAGCATTGGGGATAGAATCGCCCTCTAAGGGATGCTGCATACCAGAGGGTAATGCAGAGAAACCTTCTCCCCAAGTGCCACCCTCTGTCCCCAACCATGGGAAAAGGAGACTAGCCATTGCAGGGCCGGTCCCCAAATCCCCGCAAGGTGGTGGGTCATGAGATCATAATCAACTGTGTCAAAGGCTGTTAAGTCAAGCAACAACAGGAACGCTAACCTGCCTTGATCTGCATGACTCCATCCCATAGCTGGGGTAGAAGCCAGACTGGAATGGATTCAGGATAGAGGAATCATACAAGAAACCCTGGAGCTGTTCTGTTACTGCTCTCTTAACTACCTTGCCCAGGAATGGAAGGTTCGACATTGGGTGGTAGTTGCCTGGAACCAGAGGGTCCAGTGATTTTTTTTCATGAGTGGTCTCACCACTGCCTCCTTCAAGTACCCTGGGAAGGTCCCTGAAGTCAGGGACAGGTTAATGATGTCTCCTGGGGGACCCATATTCCATCTCTGCTGGCCTTCTATGATGGACATGGGTCAAGGAGGCAGGTGATGGGCATCTTGTCGACCTCCTCCTGGTTCTGGTTGACCTCCTCCTGGGAGAGTCAGCTGAAGTGGTCCAATATTGGGCTGGAAGATGGCCAAGGGGCCTCCAGTTCACATACTTTATCAATCATGGCTGGCCAGTCCTGGTGATGCGCCAAGATCTTATCCACAAAATAGCTCACAAATGCCTCATAGCTAACAGCCAATTCCCTATTCTTTTGATTTCCCTTTGGAAGGGAAGTTAGGGATCTAATTACTCTAAATAATCGAGCTAGGCAAGAGCTTGCAGATGCAATGGAGGATGCATGGAATTCCTTCTTTGTGGCTTTCATTGCCACATTCTCATAGGCCTTCACAAATGTCCCATAGGATTTTCTTGTAGCTTCATCACAAGTATGCAGCCATGCTTGCTCTAGCTGTCTTAGTTCCTGTTTCATTCTTCACAGTTCCAGCAGGGAGTGAAGAGTGTGTTGGGGGAGTGATTTCATTGATGGCTTTGGAGAGTCAGCTATGCCAGTCCTCCACCAGCTCATCTAAAAAGTGGCTCAATGAAAAAAGTCCACAGGGGAGATTGGGTTGCAGTTCGGTGAGTGAGGACGTGCCTTCCAGCACTCCTACCACTTTCGGTTTCTAAAGGGTCTCTGATCTTATGGAGACCCTCCACCCCCTCAGGGAAGGGGGGGTAGGAGCAAGAGGCTTGATCGGGACCCCTGTGCAGCGGCTGCACATGGGTGCAAGTCCCTTAGATCGCCTCCAACGCGGAACCAGAAGAGGAGTCCATGGCTATGGGCATTAGCTGTTGCTTCCCGAGACGGGTGTGTGTGTGTTAGAAACCCAGCCAAAGAAGCTGCTTAAGATCAATGTAACACTTTTTCTGCTTGGCAATAAAAGGATTTGGGACTAATTACTTCTATTGCCCTCTATAAAGCAATAAAGTCACTCTGAAGAGTTATGGGAGGTTTCCCCCCCCCAATCCAAGCGGCTAGCGAAAGGGGACGAGACTATTGATCTTTCATTTTCAAACCAGGCAACGTTAAGGCAAACTCAGTCTGACCATTCTACACAGTTCAAAACTTTGACAGGTTGATATTTCTACTCTTAAAGACGCTTTGCAACGTTCTGAATTGTTCCCCTATTTGGGGTAGAGTGTGGAACATCAGGATGCTCTGTGTAATTCTGTGGGTCTTAACAGTAGCATCTGGAGAGTTTTCTTCTTACGGTATTGGGACTGTTACTTGACCCTTGCTGCATTTAAAAGGGGCTTGTATTGAACTGCGATGCAGACTTTCTGATTAATCGTTGCTAGAAGCCATTGACTTCACTGGCACTCCTGCTATTTTTGACCTTGAAGCACATTTTTGTGGTTAAACCGCATAAGCTACACAAACACAGTGTTCTAAAATAATACCTTGGAGAGAAAAGAAAAATAATAAGGACAATATTCAAAATAAAATTTTGGCAGTCAGCCGGATATCTCCTTTCTCTTGGTTGGCTTTTTTCTTTTCTTTTCTTTTTTTACATCATGATAGAGAAAGCAGGTCAAATAAAACAAGTGAGGATGCTTTTTACCTCACCTGGTGTGTCAAAATCAGTTACATCAACTCTGGCAGCCTCTGCCAACAAAGAAATGCAAGCCCTTGTCCAAGATACTATCAAAAGTTCAATCACGAACCCTGTAGATCCTATCAAAGAGGCCTTGAAAGAAATAACAGAGAAATTTACTGCCAGCATGGAAACATTACAGAAGCAAGTAACAGAGAATATCCAAAAAATTGCTGGCTTGAATACTACAACAGAAAAAA